TCTCTCTCTCTCTCTCTCTCTCTCTCTCTCTCTCTCTCTCTCTCTCTCTCTCTCTCTCTCTCTTTCTCTCTCATTCTCTCTCTCTCTCTCTCTCTTTCTCTCTCGCTCTCTCCTTCCGAAGCCACGCGACAGCACCGCAGTCGTGGCAAGCAAGCGCCGTCGCTGCAAAAACGAGCGGGCGCGTGATGCCGGGTATGTGAAACACTATCGTCCGAGAGGCAGCTGCACCCGAGTTTATTTTGAACGCCGCACACACACAGACGCATGCACAATAACATCTGAGGTTTATAATCGCCAGACTGTCTATTATCAACCACTGAAAACATTTGTGTGTATACACACACACACACACACGCACGCACGCTCGCTCGCGCAAATACACACACACACGCACACACGCACGCACGCACGCACGCACGCACGCACGCACACATACACGCGCACTATACACGCACATTACACGCGCACTATCGCTAGCACGCACACACTCACACGCCCATGCACCACTACTGCTATGGCCGATTCGTAATTATATCCAGACCGCTAAGGCAATTATTGAGGGGGAATTCGCAATAATCACATGCTAAGTACAAGATCGAAGCGTTCTCCGTGCCTTACAATGCGCCCAGTTTACAGTCGCCATGACAACACGGGGGTTCGAAAAAGCCGAAATGAAGAAAAACGAACTGTAATGACTAATGTCACCTGCTCACAAATTGAATAATTATAGAGCGGCAGAAGCAGCGCAGCATCCAGTTGATGCCCGGCAGCTAATTATGCTAATGAAGACAACGTCGCAGAGAGAGACACAGAAAGAGATGTAAGAGCGAAAGAGACGACGGAGAAATAAGGCGATGGACGCGGGAGAGAGTGACTGCCAATGAGCGAGATACAGGGCGTGTTAGCCACAAGTTCCCTTCCCGCTAGTCCTACGACGTGCAACACTCCAACAGTCGGAGAGCCTGGTCGGTTTAAGGGCGTGTGTGCTACAGAAATAGAGAGATCGATGGGGAAGCGAAAATGGAGATAAAGACGGGATAGTTCGTGAGAAAGGGGTGGGGAGAAACAGGACGAGAGAGAGGGCGAGAAATGGAGAAAGAGAAGGGAAGAGAGAGCGAGAAAGGGAGAGCGAGCGAGAGAGAGAGAGAAGCAAACATACCGACAGACACAAAGAGACACAAGAAAGAGACATTATCTGATACACACACACACACATACAGAGAGAGACATCGATTCGTCGTGTGTAACTTACGTCTCGGTTCGCAGTTCACTCGCAGTGTAGCGCTCAACATTACGAGCAGCAGTAGCAATCCACGCAGCATCCAGCCAGTGCACGTATCCATGGCAGCGAGACTCCTCATCCTCGCGCCTCACTCTCCCTCTCTCTCCCTCCCTCTCTCTCTCCTTGACGCACACACGACGCGGCGGTCACTACATGCAGTCACTACAACGTCGCAGGTTATCCTTCATCACAGATCCGACTAGGGAATCAACTCCACGATGCCCGTTTAGGAGGGACTAGGCCTACTACCACACGGGCGAGAATGAATGTCTTGCACTCTCGCTCCGCCCCTAGCTCGGCTATATTCCAGCTGCTGCCCGCGTTATCTCTCACACGAAGTCTCAAGGATGACTCCTCCAAAAACACAGTTACAAAATAATCCGGTGGTGAGAACTCGTCGAATATCACACAAAGCTGGGCTCGAGTAGTATTATAATACACCTACTCGGTAGGTTCATTAATGAACACCGTACACGCTAGAAGCAGCACTCACTACGCTCTCCGTTCGTGCATTCATATGAGCGCGCTAGCAATGCGCCTACATGCAGGCGATAGCTGCTGCTGCTGCTGCCTCGGTTCTGCGCGCTAGCGACGAGTTTACGGGAGTAACTGCCTAAATATAGAACCAACGCTGGGTGATAGCAGAAGGACCGTACCATTGCTAACGCGGGGCGGGGGTGCGGGGAGAACGGAGGACCAATCAATCAGCTGGCGCCACTGCAGCGGGGATGCGTGCCACCTCAGTCGGCGGTGACAACGGCGGGGTGCGGCGTGCCCGTGTGTGTGTGTGGGGGGGGGGGGATTATACATGCATCTCGTGGCGTTTCACACCGAATGACTGCGTGTTCACGACATTCGTTGTCATTTCTGTCAGTGGGGTTGATTTGCTATTGAGATAAAAGCGCCGCATTCTTGCGATGTGGCAACCATGCATGCTCTCGCACTCGCTGTGCACTCTTGTTTCCAGTTTCCCTCCCGCGCTCTCTACGTCCCTCGCTTCCCTTTATTTTCTTTCCACCTTTCTCCCTCCGCTCTCTCTCTCTCTCTCTATATATATATGCTGTAGCGTGAGCGTGGTGGGAACAGACTTGATCCCGCTGCCTGCCACCACAACCACTACTCCCCCAGCAACACGCTGCTGTATATAACCAGGAGGCATTATTAACTCCTGATATAACGTTGCTGTATATAACACAGCGATAAACTGCAGACGCTGCTATCTCTATAATACGCCTGCTCCTATATAACACACGGGGCTGCAGCTGAAGCTGACTGATCACACTCTCCTGCCTCATCTCCTCCTCGCTATACCCCAATTCGCCCTATCGCACGCAGCTGTTTACGAGAAGGGGGGCCAATTCCTGGTGGGCACAGATTCATTAGCCAGGAGATTATGGCAGTGGCGCAGTGACACGCCAGTATACAACCAGCGCGCTGATTAAGCGCAGATGTCGGCCGATTGCATTTGAGTATTTTTTCTTAAGCCGAAAATATATGCGCCGCCAAGGCAATCTTCTATATAAATGCCAGCGTTGAGAACTTGAGAGAGTGCGCCGCGTTGTGAATAAAGAGGCTCGGCGGGCGGGAGGCAGCCTGACATCCGAGAGAAACAAAAATGTTAAAAAAAAGAGACGGCTTCTTTGCTACATTTAAAATAGTTCGAATCGCGCATTCGAGAGTTGTGCGTGTGGGTAAGTGAGGGAGTACGAGAGGGAGTGGGGGAGAGGAGAGAGGGAGACAGGAATAAGAGAGAACGACAGACATACACAGATAGAGAGAGCGAGAGAGAGAGAGAGAGAGAGAGAGAGAGAGAGAGAGAGAGTGTATGAGCGCGAAAAAAATGAGAGCGAGAGATATAGGGAGAAATAGAGGGAGCGAGAGAGGGAGGGAGGGGCGAGGGAGAAATAGTAAGAGAGTGAGATAGACAGAGAGAGGGGGAGGGGTTGAGAAAGAAGATCATTTGCCGTAATACAACCCATCTTTGCTGCTTATGACTGCTCGACATTTTAACTGCCACTCTTACTATGCTTCGTGTATGTACACATACTGCCGATGCGCTACATGAAAGCCGAGGAAAACAAATAAAAAATAATGAAAAAATGAAAAAAAAGCTAAGGAATTTCATAGCGCGAGCGCGAACGAGCTGGCACAAGGAGAAATCCATTACCGGCCGCATCACTAATGAGCGGAATTTCTTTTAACAAACATTACTGACGCGCTCCGGTGGTACATCCTCCTCAATACACACGTACGCACGCACACACGCACGCACGCACGCACACACACACACACACACACACACACACACACACACACACACACACACACACACACACACACCCAACACACGCGCCCACCCAAACGCGCACGCACACACGCACGCACATACGGAACACGTACGCATGCCAGGATTCACCGAATACACACACTCACCCCGTTACTCACTGCTCACTCCTTGAGAAAGCAATAGGAATAGACAGCGAGTGAGTGAGTGCGCGTGTCGTTGATCGATAGCTGACCACGCTACCTCGTCCGCTTATTATCGCCCGCATTGATATTTCTCACGAGGCTAGCCGAGCAGAACATATCGGAAAGATGTGCCCGCGGGGGCAACATCCACCCACCCCGTGCGCGCGTGCGTGCGGGCGTGCGTGCGTGCGGGCGGGCGTGTTGAATGAACCACAGAGTGCTGCTATATGCATGCCTTCTTCACTTATCAAGCTCTCACACGAATGACTAAACTAAGAGTCCTAATAGGTCCGGGAACGCAGTAATATCTGCGGAACATCAGAGAGCGGCTTTTATACGCGCCGGCACTTGTATAGGCGCTCGCAGCGTAGCTTCATGATGAGAGATCAGAGGACGCCGAGTGCGTGTGCGCGTGTGTGTATTAAGAGCCAGCAGCGAGTACGGCCCCGTGGACAAGAGCTGAGACATGCTGGGAGGCCGAGAACCGGCGCTGCGGCGCTGGGGGACACACGCGGTTCTAGGTAAATATTGGGACACAAAGCCAGTTGTACAAACAGCGGGCAGGACAAATTAAGAATCCCATCAGCAAACAGGCAAGGCAAATGCGCGTGAAAGCTCCCGCGGCGCGATGGGCCTGCGCAGACATAAACGTACCGCGGGGATCCGCCTCTCGATTAGAATTTCTTTGAAACTGTTGAAAATAGCTTCTTCGTATTTTCGGTTAAGCGGATGACGGAACATACACACGGGGACGTGACCGAGTGATACACCACGTCGAGGACGAGCGGAATCCGTAGGAGAAGGGTAGATATAGATAAGGAGATATGTGAGAGAGTGAGCAAGAGAAAGAAAGAAGGGCGAAAAGAATGAGAAGGACAACGAGACGGGGATAGTGGGAGGGTGTCATAGACAGATTGATAGATGGATAGACGGACGGACGGGTTGGCGGATGGATGGACAGACGGTCGGATAGATAGCCAGATAGGCGGACGGACGGACAGACAGACAAATTGACAGATAGAAATTGCGCGTGTGTGCATGCGTGTGTCTGAGTGTCCGTGCGCGTGCGTGAGTGCGTGCGTGCGTGTGTGTGTGCGCGTACATGTGTGTGTGTGTGTAATCGGAGGGTGCCTGATGATTACATGCCATACCGCGGTCAGTCAATGCAATACGGATAAGAACACGCGCGCGCCCGATTCAGCACCATACGCAACACTGTTTAAACAGCTTGTGTAACAATATCGCGCTGATCTCCATCACCGATACACTGTCGCCTGACATTACTGTCGCCGGACATCATCGGGACGCGGGCGCTTTCTCGTGCATCACCTGGAAAAACAACACTCGCGCCCCGCGCCCGCCAGCATTCGCTAGTTTCGCAGGTGTAATTAGAATATTCGTCAGCCCCTCCAGCCACCCCCACCCCACCCCACCCCACCCCACCCCACATACACACACCCCCGAACGGTAACTCCGCCATTAACAAAAGCTCGCTATCTCGCCGTGGCATCGCTGACAGCACCTGAGAACGCATGCAACAATGTCGTAATGAGGCGAGCGGCCAATGGCGTACGTACGTAGGTACGTACGTGTCCGCTTGCCCCATTATACCCGCACCGCGACTCTCTGTGCTTGGTCCGCGGTCCGCGCGCGCACAATGCATGCCATGTACGCCGCCTTTCCAGTCAAGATGCGGCCATTGATTCGCGCGAGAGCGGCCTCGGCATCGCTGGGGCCATATCAAAGGTTCGCGCAATCGATCGTCGTCCATTCATCGAACTACGGCAGGACCGAGAGCGAACGCATAGCGGCATCTTAATAATGCATATGACTAGTGCGTGTAACGCGTCGGAACATACCTGAACACACCTGTACATACCTGAAGACCGCCAGTGTCATTTCCGCGGTGATGAGGCGCGAGAGAAATAAAATGCGCCGAAGGAGAAAAGGCCCGTGATAAGACGTGATCGCGTGCAATACATGCAGCATACGTACAGAGAGCGTTGCGGCATTGATGTTGTCATCGATGCTCCATGTTATATGTCTAACCCTGGATCGTTGACTTCGGTTCCGACATGCTGCTAATAATCCTCTCTCTATTTCTCTCTCTCTCTCTCTCTCTCTCTCACGCTCACGCAGGCACGCACGCACTCACGCTCACGCAGGCACTCACGCTCACGCAGGCACGCACGCACTCACGTACACACTCTCTCTGTGTTCTTTTGGGCTCTCTCTCTCTCTCTCTCTCTCTCTCTCTCTCTCTCTCTCTCTCTCTCTCTCTCTCTCTCTCTCTCTC